GCTAAGCAGAGGTGTGTGGACGTGATGGTTCTTTCCATATCTATGACTGTTGAATTCCATTGGCAAGATCAAAATCTGGGTCTTGCATCTGAGCTGGAGGGGAGCCCGCACCTGTGGAGATGGCTGGTGGGGTGATGGGTTTGTCCCCCCCCAGCATCTTGCAGGTTTTTAGGGCTAACAATTATAGGAGGTTTTAGGGCATTTTTAATATATGTTTTTTAATTATTTATAGATTTTATCCATGGTATATATATATGACCGGGGCGAGGCGGTATAATATAATATATAAGAGAGACAGTTTGATTTAGTGGTGAAGGCACCAGGCTAGAAACCGGGTGACCATGAGTTCCAGTCCTGCCTTAGCTATGAAGCCAGTAGGGTGACCTTGGGCCAGTCATTCTTTCTCTCAGCCCTAAGAAGCAGGCCAGGGCAAACCACTTCCAAAAAATCTTGCCAAGAAAACTGCAGGGACTTGCCAGGCAGTTACCAGGAGTCAACGCTGACTTGAAGGACCATCATCATCATCAAAAGTATATAAGGAGCCATCCCAACAAATACACCTAACATTTTCTCTGTCCAGAAACGTTAATGTTCTTGGGAAAACGGAAGGTATAATTAATAAACGTCGTCAGCAACATCAGCCAATATCATTCTGCCCACAAGGGCCGACCTCCGATGATTTTTAAAGGTGTGACTTCCAATTTCAGCTTTTCCACTTTTTCCCCACTTTCCGACTCCTTTCCATTTATCGAGGGCATAAATTCTGACAAGATCAATCTGTCTTCATATTCCACAACTACAGTTATGTGTAAAAAGGTCGGTAAATTACCGGCTCGGCTGTGAGACGTCACACTGCATCAGTCATGTCGTAGAGGAGAAAAGTAGCTATTAGCCCCATCTACTGGCTACAGATACAGATGCAAGACCCAGATTTTGATCTTGCCAATGGAATTCAACAGTCATAGATATGGAAAGAACCATCACGTCCACACACCTCTGCTTAGTGCAGGCATCCCGACTAAAGCAGTTCCTTGACTGCCTTGTCCAGCCTTGAGTCCAATGTCAAACCAGGGTAACTT